TGGCCGCTCACACTGAGCCTGGTTCTGCTGGAGGTTTCTTCCTGTTAAAAGGGAGTTTTTCCTCTCCACTGTCGCTACAAGCATGATTAGTGTGAGGGATTGCTGAAGAGTCAATGCATCAACTGGTTTTCCTTAGATAGAAAACTTTGAATAAATCTGACTGGATGATCTGGTGAACTGGAAAGTTGCTTGAGATGACATGTTGTGAATTGGAGCTATAGAAATAAACTGAATTAATTGGATTATGCAGCTCAGCAGCCGGAGCATCAAATGTCCCGAGCATCGACCTGACAACGCACAAGCATCCAAGTTGATGAGTTGGATGCCTTTTTAAAACCCAAAACATGTCTGGTGTGAAGGTAGCAAAAGGAAGATGTTCATAAAGAAAGATTGAGTTGTTTTGATCCAAAATGTAGGAAGTTGAAAGAAATTGTCTCCATTTTGGTTTCTTACTCTACTTGACTTCAGAGAAGAACCTGAACTATTGGATTAGACCTGACAGTGTTTGCTCACTTTGTCCCTAACGTCTCTGTTCCATCCTGCAGGATCCCCCCAACACTGTATTTTCCTCCTACCTGGTTTCAGTCTCTGAACACTTCATCCGACCTCTGCTTCGCCACACAGCTTTCTGCTAAACCACCTCAGCCACTCCATCGAACAATCAGCCAATCAGACAGCAGATTAACTCACAGAAACTCTCTGTTCTCTGTCTCTTTTTAAAGCACTCCTATCTGGACAGGGAAACCTCTCTGATTCTGAGAAACATTGCAGGAAAACCCTCCCACCTGCTGACCAAGGTGACTCTCTTCATTCACTTCTGACTCCTCCCCTCATGCAAGCCTCCCACCTTTCTGCTGTCATTTCATTCTTGCATGATGCATTAAGGGCATGCACATCTCCTTTTCCTTCCCCGTCCCTCTGCTGTGTTATTTTGTCTATTTGTTGGTGCTTGAACCTGTCCAGCTGGTGAACCATCTCAGATTCTTCTCTTCCCCCATCTCAGATTTTTCTCTGTGTGATTCCTCAGTTAGACCCATTTATTAACGTGTGCCCAGGTCTCCTTTAAGCATCTATGCTGTGCAGCGCTTCTGAAGCTCGTCTCCATGAAGCATGAGGGTTTAATTGTAGCACAAAGAGCCTGAGTTAAAGGGAATTGCATGTGTGGTTATATAGGAGAGACCTGATCAGACAGGAGTGGCCATACAGCATCCAATAATATTCAGCATGTCACTATTATCAAACAGCTGGTAGCAGACAGGAAATTTTAACCTTTTCTTTTTACTGTCTGACGAAAACTTTCTGGTTTCGGGTCAGTCTGGATTACTTTAATTATTTCTGCTTGAAAAATCCCTGAAAAAAACATGTTTAGAACCGTTTTACACTGCAAAAATGATCTAGAAATGAGTAACATTTTCTTTAATTAAGTGTATTTACCCCTTATTTGAGTAGGTAAATATGATTGTTTGCCAATGGAATGAGTTTTTAATCTTAAAATAAGATCATTAGATAATAGGCACTTGAAGTAAGACAATAGTTTTTTCTTATTTAAAATGTAAATGGTTCAATTTGCAAAGTGTCTCACTTACCTCCTCAAAGCAAGAAAAAATGCATGTATCTTAAGAAAACTGTATTTTGAGATTTCATTTTTTTTGCAGTTTGTCTCTAGATTCAGATTTTCTCTGTATTTAGTTGAACTTCACTGCAAAAACGTTCTGAAAATGAGTAAAAATCTCTTAAAATAATTGTATATGCCATTAATTTAATTAGAAAAATCAGATGATTTGCCAGTGGAATGAGAATATTTCCTCTTAAAATAAGATAATTAGATATTATGCCCGTGAAATATGAGACTGCAGTTGTTTTTTCTCTCATGTTAAATGTAAATTGTCTTGTTCCTTTGGCAAAGTGTCTCAGTTTCCTTCTCAATTGAAGAACAAAGGCACTTATTTTAAGATCTTTGCGTTGCGTCAGATGTTTACAGTTCCTGACAGAACTGCCTAACTGCTGTGGTTTGGAGGCTGCTTTGCTTCAAACAGTTCTGATCGCCAATCTTGTATGGGCTGAATTCAGAACTTGGGGCTTTATTAATGAAACATTAAGTGTTATCGTCACGATACCTTCAATATGCAGCCAAACAGTCCCACAGCATGATGCTGCCACTCTCATACTTCACTGTTTGTTGTTTTAAGGCTTCCTACTCTTGATGTAACCAAGGTGGGTTTGGTCGACCTTGAGATGACACTGCTATCAGTATGTTTTTTAATGTTATGTGATGGCTTCTTCCTCTCTGAGTGGCCTTCAGGTCCTTTTAGTGGAAGACTTGTAGTTCCTACTGATCATCTGTTAAAAACCTTTTCATCAAAAGGACAGAGATCTCTTTGGTTCATTTATAATAATAAATCACTTTTATAAATTTGGATGAGAGGCTAAGGACACCATGACATCATCAACTTATACTTTTAGCCTTTATGAATGTCTTACCGAAAAAGTAATAACAAGATTTTCTATTTCTAAATGAATGTAATCATTTAGGTACAGGGGCGGATCTAGGATTCTAGGAGAAGGGGCTTAGCCCTGAGGGTGAAGATGAGAGTTGACTTTCCGGTAAATCCCATTCTAATGTAAATGGCAGATTACTGGATTAAGGGAATTTCTAGTATACTACATGCTATCACGCATTAACATTTTTTAGAATTTGGAAACAGCTGTTCTTTATTTCCCAAAGATATGGGAGGAGGAGAGGAGAGAATGGATATTTTAGCTGCCTGAAATAATCCGTTCCCCTCCATAACATGGGACGAAATAACTTTACCTCCAAGTCTTTAACTGCGTTTTTTCTTCTCTTCATCAACAACAAATCCTGTGGATTTGGTGACATTTGATCATTATATGGCAAAGTTATGCAAGAGAAATCCAATATTTTAGCCTCCTGTTATAATGATTGACGGGCGACCTGTCCAGGTCGGACCCCGCCTCTCACCCGTAGAGAGCTGGAGATGGGCACCAAAAACTCCTCATGACCCTGCTGGGGATAAGGTGACCGAAAATGGACGGATTGATGGTATCTAGATGATAGAAATTATTTTAGTAATCCTGCCTGACCTACGGAACAAAATATTATGCAAAATGTTTGATTATTTCAAACTGCATTTAGAAATTAAAAGGTTTAATCATAGGCTGGGTGTTCACACTCCTGCAGGTAAGTGAAATAGTTCATACTTGTGTGTCTGGTTCGGTCGCCTGGTATTCATCATGGAGGGATTTCCGTTTCCCCAACAGGCTGTTGTTGGGGTTTTAATTTTCACCTGCAGATTTTAGAGGTTGTCTGTTTGATTCCAGCTTGCTGCACTGAAACCCCTACTTGTGGAGGAAAGTCGCCCGCTACCGGTGGGGTTTGTGGACAGCAGATCCTACAGTAGCAGCCATTCAAAAAGGCCCTTTCCAGTCAAATGCCGGCCAAATGGCAGCCCACTTCCTGCAACTCCCAGCCAATTCCACTCCAACTTCCAGGCACTGGCCTTCTCTTGAGCGTGCATATTTTTTTACTGTGACTCCACCCTTGAATAACAGGGTCTGACCAGGAGATGACGCTTGTCTTTAGATCTTAATGTCCACAAATCATGACAGAAAGAATATTTTAGATGTTTAAAAAGGAATTGTAGGGGACCAGCCAAGGGCCCATCAAGGAAAGTGGGGAAATGTTGAACAGCTGCTACTGTAGAACAGAACTCTAGAAATGAACTCCAGCTTCTGTAGAAGCTGGATCTGTGGGATTATCTCAGCCAAGCTTCAGTTTGTTATAGACGCTGTTTTCACCAAGACTTATGTTGCCATGCATTCATGTTTGGACTGTCATATAGTATAGTGTGAAGCAGTTCCAAAGGGAAATTGTGGTTTATTTGCATGTATGAATTACATGGTTGTAACAGATAATTGTGGCAAATTGAGGCATCTGGAAACTTTTGAAATGATAAACTAGACAGGCTGGTTCAATTTAAATGCTCTTTTTCATTCTATTTAAGCCTTATAAAGACAAGTAGAAGCATTTATATGATGATAAATCATTTGGTTCCACTTTTCCAGCCTGGGAGAAAGACTCCTGTCTTCACTGTAGGGCTGAAAATAACAATTATTTTGCAAATCAATTAATATGTAGATAATTTTTTTCATTAATTGATTAATAATCGGATAGCCAAAGTTTCCTCAAAGATTACTTTTTACACAAATTTAACCAGGTGGAACTAAAACGATTCCACTTGAAGAGTTCTGGATAGAGCAGACTGACATCATCAGGTGAGTTTGTCCAACAAGTTTGATTTCTGTGGAGATAAACACCGGACCTAGAAGGAAATATTAAAAACCTTTGGCATGGTCTAAAAACACATTTTTAAAGGCTTGAAAGAAAAAAAGATGCTTCTTTTCTGGTGCTAACATTAATATTTACGCTTTTAGCTTCTAATGAACCGCTTTCTGGTTTGCTTTTCTATTATGACATCACAGGAATGGTGAGTTTTCTGTGTTTTCATTTAGAACGGTACATTTAGTTATTGGAGACGCAAGGTTTGACCTCAGATGGTTTCCATGTTGCTTCGGTGCTTCGACTGTGAGTAGCACTGAGCGAAGCGAATGTGTTCAGTTTGGTCATGAGTCGCTGGAGCTCAGCCAGTTGCAGTAATGAAGCTTAGCAGGTGAGCCTGGAGCTGACTAATGCAGATCAGTGCAGGTAATGGGACTAACGGCTGTTTGTTGTTGTTCTCTGTTTGCTGGCAGATGTCAGCCTCTCCTGGTCTTAGCATCTAGAAACATTCTACTTATTTTCTCTTAATGGCTGCAGAGCTCTTGTGAAGGCAGATTAAGTTGAGATTAAGTTCATCTCTAAATGAAGCATGTGGATGTCAATAAGCAGCCGTTATATCTCAGTTAAGATAAAGCAGTTGGCTTCTTTACAGCCCGGGTCAAAGGCTCATATAACGAGAGAGCAGACTTTGGTCGGATTGGGTCAAAATTGTCCCAAATTTGATTGGATGATGAACAGATGCATTGGACTGAATGGGTTTCACAGAAAGGGTGCTGATTCCAAAATCATCAAGACTGATAAGCAACCATTAAGCCGGTCAAGATAAGAAATATAGTCTGTTCAATCCTGCAGATGCTTTAAGGTGCGTTATGCTGATGGTAAAATCATGTAAGTTCACCCTCTTAAAGATGAATTAACTTCTAAAGAATTTTGGAACTAGTAGACATCTGAATATTCAAAATAATAATACAATAAAAAAAATGTCTTTTTGGCCTTTTTGGCACCAAACAAAACTAAAATGGAAATAAAATCCCAAACAGTCTTTGATCTAAGCATTTCATCTTTGCTGCTGTTGTAAAGCTGTGGCTGTTTCTGACGGGGATGTTTTCCCTGGCAAATTCATATTTGTGACCTTTTTCAAAATGGCAGCTTTTCAGCTAAATTGATGGGCAGAGATTTAAACTACAGTGTGTGCAAGTGAGCTTAACTTTGCCCTGACCTGTTTGTATTTGGTTTGGCGACTAAATGCTACAGGGATAGTGGTTGTCTGTAGGACTGGGATGGCCAACTGGATGATTTATTTAGTTGGGGTTTTTTGGGGAAAACTGCACAGAATGTTGGTGTTTTAGTTTGTTGTGTTGCTGCTTCTTGTTGCTAATGCTTCAGAAGAAATTCAACATAGTGGCATGTCCAGCGGTTGTGGTTAACAGCAGATTCTCACGTCTGGAAGTTTTTGCTTTATGTAGAAAAATTTCTCTCCAAAACCATCTCCATTTAACT